CCTTAATAATATATAATGTTGACAAAGCGTTCATAAGATTGTCGTGACTGTCTTTGTTGATTGGAACTTTTACTAACAATATCCATCCACATTCCAAATTAAAATAGCTTTTAGTCCCTAGGAAATAAAACCGCTATTTTGGTCCCTGTAAACAGAGAACAAACTAGCTCTATTCGAAAAGATGTCATAAAAAAGATATAATGCACGTTGCGGAATTTAGAATAATCTTTGTCGTAATAAAGTACTATATTTTCGCAACAATATTCGGAAACACCGTGTGCAGTCGTAAAGTCGGTAATTTATATTATTGAAGTTCAGTCTTTGATCTTTATGCTTTCCTGTAACGAAAGGGTTTAGTTACGGTAACATTTGATATTTTTAGTTTGAGTCAAGGTTAAGTAACCTTGAAAAATCTTTTTTTTTTGAGTGTGTATGTTGTTGGTAGCAGATGACCTTTACAGCGTCACCGGGTTTGGGGACGGCGAGATCCTAAGGGGACCTCAAGCCGAGAATTGGCGAGTGCCTCTAGAGGTATTCCAGGCGGATGGCATCTCCCCACGGGAGGAGTCTCCTCTCCGTCTGGAGTCCATAGACCACTCGAATTTGAGGGGGTTGGCTCAACTAGAGGGCGTCTCTGAGACTCGGTCCTCGGCTCTAGTTAGCCGTTGTCGTGGTGGGCGAACATCATATTTAAGTGTGAATGTGCTTTTACACTCTTATGCCGTCCACACTTATAAAGAACGTTTCCAATGGGGTACCATAGTAATAATGAATTCACAAATTTTGTCTAAAATAAGTATCAAAATAAAAAAATGGTAGATATATTTATTAAATCTAATATTAAGATACTGTAAATAAATAATGTAATTTAATTGCATTTCAACATAGTTCACTGTAAGAAAGGAGAAGAATGATACGAATTTTCTCGGCAGAATGAACAACATTAATATTAATATTTATTGGAAAACACATACAGCTACTTTATACAGGAATAATCCTAATGCAATAGTGTAGTTTTAAAATTACAATTAATAATAATTATAAACATAATTGTATTAAAAAAAGACAATAATACTTATTCCATTTTGTTACATATAAATTAACATAACATAGTGTATATACATATTAAAAAAAAAAAAATTGTCATCTCTATTACAAATTTCCATTACCACCGATCTTTTAATAATGGACAGTGAAACATCTTCCATCTAGTTCATTTAGTTCAATATTGTCGTCTGTCTAGTCTATTCTAGTGCAACATTTTCTCTAGGTATAGCTCGGTAGTTCATATCAGCCCAAAATATCAACGAAACTATTTTATTAACTGTTTCAATTAAATTACGTTTTATTTGTTTCTTAGGTTTTCACGCACACCACTCATTAAATAAATAAAGTTTCAACGGTATAGATGCATTGATTTATTGATTTTTTTATTGACGTTTCACACCCTTTTCAGGATGCGTCGTCTGACTAATGAATTTATTTACTTTGTCGAGCTACCTTCGAAAGACTTTTATTGAGCGTTCGGATATTTCATTGGAAGTTTTTAAAACTTTATTGTCTATTAATACTTTACTAGCAAACCAGTGAACCAAATGTTCACCAAAACCTGATTTAAAAAAAATGTATTTAATTAATTGAGAACTTCGGAGATTTTGTGTGGTTTCGTTTGAAATTCGTGATTTCTCGAAAACCGGAAGTGCTACGTTACTCAAATCCGGTTTGTAGTCTTATCAGACTATTCTTAACTTATAACTTAAATATTCTCTTTATCTATCTCTTACGGTTTGGCCGCTGAAACAGCACCACAGACGGACTTGTCTAATAGATAAGAGATTAATTAAATTAGCTAATAAATTCATACATAGACAATAAAGTATTAAACATCTTCCAATGAAATATCTGAACGCTCAATTAAAGCTTTCGAAGGTAGCTCGACAAAATAAATAAAGTCATAATTCAAACGATGCATCCTGAAAAGGATGGGAAATGTCAATAAATAAATAAATCAGTGCATCTATACCGTTGAAATTTGTTTTATTAAATTACGTTTTGTTTGTGTTAAGAAGGAATCGTTTGAGAAAATTTTATTCTTCGATGAATTCATGTGTTGTTCACAGTAACAAATAGCCCTTGCTGAGTTTCTTGCCGCTTCTTCTCAGTACAAGGTCTCCCGCCGTAGATTTACGAACCGACGGCGTAGCGATTGACTTTCACAAGAGCTTGTAACAGCCTAAACTGAATAAATGAGACTGAGTTTGAGTACTTACCTACATTGTACTCAACTATATAACACTAAAATATACTTTAAAAGTTTTTTTTCTGCAAAAATGTGTCCTATTATACTAGACCCTAATGAGCAGACAGCAGAGCCTTTCGCTTCCCTCGGGTATAGACGAACGATTGAACAAACGGGAGCAGGTGATAAGAAAGATGAGGTGAACTAAATAGAACTAAAAATAAAATATGACCTGAAGTAAACTAGACGAAGGAACGCTTTATCTAAGACTAGCGGCCCGCCCTCGCTTCGCTTCGGGGTAGAGCTGAAGTGTAGACTACAGTTTTTGATCTCAAGCTTGTATTATACACAATGACATTCATCTATGATTCTTCTTATACCTGCATGCAAAGTCTCAGCCCGATCGGTATAAAATTGACAAAGTTTCATACAAACTTTCATTACCTATTTTATCCCCTTGGGGGTAGAAATGATGAAAATCCTTTCTTAGCGGATGCTACGTCATAATATCTACCTGCATGCTAAATTTCAGCCCGATCCGTCCAGTGGTTTGGGTTGTGCGTTGATAGATCACTATGTCAGTCAGTCAGTCACCTTTGAGTTTTATATATGTATATATATATAGATATACGTGAACTAGTCAAATCCACTACAGATGCTTGCGATACCATAGCACAGGTGGCGGCACGTAACTTTAGCGCTCAACAAAACGCGGAGGGGATAGATGCGCGTGGGTACGACTGGAGAGCCAATCGGCGCAACGCACGCCCACCCGCGCACCTCGTTTCCCCCCAACACATCTTATTTTTTTTTTCTGCGCTAGAGTTTCGTGCCGCGACTTATATCACTCGCACCATTACCCTGATCTGACCTTACCTATACAATGGCGACTGAAGCTCTGGAAAATTATTCATCGGTAGAAATACAACTACAAGACGCAACATCCAGGCCGATAGGGTGAGGATGGCTGGTGTGGCAGGTAGAACTGCTGTATCAGCTATCTTCACGTCTGGACTTCACCGTTCCTTAACATCGGGTGGGGTGGAGTCATGTGTCCTTTAGTTGACCTATCTTTAAAAAAATCCAAAAAAAAAATATATAAATGGATATAAAGATAGTGTGTTATTCCATTACATTAAAACAAAAAGGGAAGATACGGCATTCGCGGCTCAAAAGTGATCCGCTTAAATTGTGGTCCATGACCATAATTCGCTTTAGTCACAATTTGACATTCAAACACGCTGTATGTACACTCAATATAACAATATTGCATATATTCTGTGTTATGAAGATAAAACAATGCCTTCGATGCTTTATGAGTTACCTCATATTGAAGTCATTTTTCAATTTGACGACTCTGTATATAATACAGGGAGAAAAAAACAGCCCTTGCTGAGTTTCTTGCCGGTTCTTCTCAGTACAAGGTCTCCCGCCGTAGATTTGCGAACCGATGGCGTAGCTTTTCGACATTCACAAGTGCTTGTAACAGCCTAGACTGAATAAACGATATTGAATTTTGAAAGAACAAAAATAGTTCAGCATTGCTTTTCATTCGTAAAACTGATTTTTTTTCTCAAAAATCACGGTTTTTCGTGAGAGAGTTGCTTATGTAGTGGAGTCGGATTATATTTTATTTGATGCTAGTATGAGCGTACCGTATCTACCCTCTTTGTTGACGTGACAACGTCTTAAATTAGGTTGCGGCTGGGAGTCACTTATGAAAAAGTGTAACGCTCGGTAACGTTACGATGAGTCTCTCGTGTTAAGTTTAAGTTTACATGTACAATGTTTTAGTAAACAAAATATATTTCTATAGTTAAAATTTGTGCAATTCTTATTTTCATTCAATTCCTTGTTCCTATTGTGCAATTTAATTATATTCATATCAATAAATATTCTACCGAGAAAAAGACGTTGTCACGTAAAATCTTCGCCCGTAAAACCGACTTTACAGGCAACCATTTTTTTAATCTAAGGTTATTCCACTGTCTTTTGTATGGTGGAAAAATACTTCTCTAGACAGGCACTCCAATTTAAGCGAAAAACATGAATCAAACAATATACCGGTATAAAGACAGACTGAATTTAGCTGTGGATATATTTTTTGCGTCGGATGTAAATGGTAGATAATAAGTACAATGAACGTGTTAACACTCAGGCAACGGTGTTATCACTAGGACAAATGAAATACTGTGGACTTTATTAACGGTTCAGAACTAATTATTGCATCTTTATTTATATTAAAGACTTATTAATAAGAATGAACAATGCTTAACTAGGTAACAAATGTAATATTGTGGTAATTTCGCTGTTTGCATTGTTGGTTGCTTACATGTTTTTTATAGATAGGTCCGACAAATAACTCCACCCCACCCTGATGTTAAGTGACGGTGAAGTCCAGACGTGAAGATAGCTAGTACAGTATTTCTACTTGCCAGCCTGCATGTTGCTTCTTCACGCCTCTTTTAAAGGATGCCAGGTTGTAAGGAGGGAACACGTGAGCGGTATTCCATTTAGGGATAGTGCGACAAAGAAATGAGTCACCAAATTTCTTTGTACGCGTTGGAATTGTGGCCACAGTTAGACGGTGACAACATAGGCAAGCGCGCGTGGACCTCTGAAGGAAAGGGTATTTATGCCTAAATAAAGAAAATACAAAACTTGTTTTTGTATTGAATGTCTTATCTCCATTGATGAGCTATCAACATATGCTTAGGTAAATTAGAATTGCCAATGTAAATTTTTATCCTTTATATTCCAGAATCTCCGCATCCAGGAGCTTCGTGAGTCGTCCCTGGACCTCCACCGGGACATATCGGCTGCGATGCGGGAGCTGCACGTGCCCCCAGAGGAGGTGGCAGACTACACGCTTCCGGGGGACGTCCCGCTGTTTCCCGCCAAGGTGGGCGAGCCGGGATACTTGGGGGACAACCAGATTTTAGGTAAGCACAAGCCAATAATAGTGGAAGGCAGGTTACTTAGGGGACAATCAGATTTTAGGCAAGGATAAGCTTAAAGTGGGGGAGGCAGGTTACTTGGGGGTCAACGATATTTTAGGTATGGACAAGCTAAAAGTGGGGGAGGCAGGTTCCTTGGGGGTCAACGATATTTTAGGTAAGGCAAGCTAAAAGTGGGTGAGGCAGGTTACTTGGGGGTCAACTATATTTAAGGTAAGGACAAGCTAAGAGTGGGGGAGGTAGGTTACTTGGGGGTCAACGATATTTTAGGTAAGGACAAGCTAAAAGTGGGGGAGGCAGGTTACTTGGGGGTCAACGATATTTTAGGTAAGGACAAGCTAAAAGTGGGGGAGGCAGGTTACTTGAGGGTCAACGATATTTTAGGTAAGGACAAGCTAAAAGTGGGGGAGGCAGGTTACTTGGGGGTCAACGATATTTTAGGTAAGGACAAGCTAAAAGTGGGGGAGGCAGGTTACTTGGAGGTCAACGATATTTTAGGTAAGGACAAGCTAAAAGTGGGGGAAGCAGGTTACTTGGGGGTCAACGATATTTTAGGTAAGGACAAGCTAAAAGTGGGGGAGGCAGGTTACTTGGGGGTCAACGATATTTTAGGTAAGGTCAAGCTAAAAGTGGGGGAGCCAGGTTATTTGGGGGTCAACGATATTTTAGGTAAGGACAAGCTAAAAGTTGGGGAGGCAGGTTACTTGGGGGTCAACGATATTTTAGGTAAGGACAAGCTAAAAGTGGGGGAGGCAGGTTTCTTGGGGGTCAACGATATTTTAGGTAAGGACAAGCTAAAAGTGGGGGAGACAGGTTACTTGGGAGTCAACGATATTTTAGGTAAGGACAAGCTAAAAGGGCAGCCTGGGGGACAACCAGAACTTAGGTAGGAACAAGCTAGATTAAGGGCTTAATTAATTTAATCAACGTATCCCGTAAGAGTCCTTCAGAGTCGTTCAAGAGTGCTTCCTTTGTTTCAATCAACATCACATGATTGTTACGTTACGCCTAGCAAATCTGGTATTTGGGTGATTTTTGATTCTAAAATAGCTGTTGCTAATTTTAATTTCACTGTATGATTAGTTCCCCCTAGCACGAACTTAATAGTTGTATGGTCAGTATCCTAAGCACGAACTTATATCGGGAGTACGAAATGTCTATGTCAAATGTGTACTGATTTTTAGTTCTCGTTGCGTACTTTGTGCCGCTGCTGTTCAAGTTTCCATACAAAATTTGAAATTGACATTTCATTTCATTTTGAAAAAAGACACAAACAAAAGAAAGCCTCAGTTGGAACCAGATTCTAAAAAATCTACCACAGCTTCCACTCCATCCAAGTATAGACCTGCGCAAAGTGTCGAAGAATCTCATTAAGAAGAACTTACAAAAATATTTGCTACAGAAAATTATCTTAAAAAAAATCACTCGATTCAGATTTCAAAAGGATTTGAACCAGAATATGTGGGTTCAAATCTCGTCTGAAAAATGAAACGGGTGGAATTTTCTCGCAGTGAAATCCTTAACAATAACCCATAACACTTGCTTTTCCAGGTGCCCCGTTGGATTTCAACCGCTACAAACCTGACAACATAGAGGACATTGTCCCGTTCGATTTTATCAGCAAGTCCATATACTCGGTCAGCCATTCCAACCCGAAGAGGAGGATAGAAGGACCGCTCAAGGAATCCATCGATGACGTCATCAGGGAGGTAATTTCCGAGTTTGAACTTAATATAAAAAGTCCGATAAAACAACGTTCTGAGTTTTTACTTATCGCAGTTAAATGATAGGCACTCTCCCTTGCCTTGATTATTTCTAATGATCTCTCAATAACTCTCTTGCTGTTGTAATGTTTGTTTTTGAGCAGGGCGTGACACTGACACTCATATTACTGACACACGTAAGACAGCTGTTTTGTCTATGATAGCGAACCGCTTTATGTCAACGTAGCTGTTAAACTTCATTGGTTGGGTTGGTAACATTAAAAGATTAGTTCCTTTTTTCATTCGACTTAAAAATCGACTTCAACTTATAAAAAAAAAAAACTAACCACTTACTTTAAGTTGTTGTGATGGATGGCCCTGTTGAATTTACCAAGTGTTAAATTTTGAATTGTTTTTTTTTACCATATCCATATTTTCACCATCTTAACGACCTATCTACAACGGAATAGACTGCTTCGCAGACCGTGGTGTTTAGCGGATTGAATCAGACTAATGTATCAAAATTCTTCCTCTGGGCCTGCTATTTCTTTTCCTATAGATACTCTTAGCACGAACCATTATCGAATTCGAATAGTTGAATTCGATCTATTTTATACGTTAATTGTGTACTGATTTTTAGTTCTCGTTACGTCCGTTGTGGCGCTGCTATTCAAGTTTCCATACAAAATTTGACAATGACATTTCGCACTCGCAAACTATTCAAATTCGTTACTGGTTCGTGCTAAGGGTACAGGTTAAGCGGCTGCGTACCTACTTAATAATTGTAACTTGTTTCCAAGATAATTGTGGGCTGAAGTTCCGGTGTCAGGTTTGTTGTTTATTAAATCTATCTGAAAATATAGTCTGCTGTTAATAGGCTAGTTGTCACTTTTTGGAAATATGTTTTAAATGGTTAATAATTTTTCAATTAGACCGAAAAAAATGTATTGTATTTTTTTGACCTAGAAAGCTACAGAACTTTAATTTAAAATAGATTTTTCATGGACATACAAAAACGCTGTCGGCCATTTTAGTCTATAAATTATCTTTGGTATGACGGGAACAAAATAGCGTCCTTTACTCCATCCTCCATTTACTCAAGAAAACCAATAAACGGAAACTTTTCTTGAAGATATAAGAGTTTTTAGATATATTTTAGTCGGACGAAAGAAACCACAGTAACACGACAATGACGTTTAGTTGTTTGCTAATGTGTTCACGTCACAATCATGGTGAAAAGCGTTTTTAGTGTTTTAAAAAGCAAAGACTAAAAAGCTATTTTTCAAATTAAATTACTACAGCCATCTTCTAACTTTATGAAGTGAAATCGATGTATTTAAGTTTCTCATACCAAAAATTAAATGAGGTGCTCGATGGCGCAAGTGGTTAGCGCGTTCCGCAGCGATCGTTGAATTTAAGTAACTTTCGCAGTGGTCGGTCATTGGATGGGTGACCGAAAATTTACTATCTCGAGCTCCTCCGTGCTTCGGAAGGCACGTTAAGCCGTTGGTCCCGGCTGCATCTGCAGTCGTTAGCACCCGCCAATCCGCACTGGGCCCGCGTGGTGGGTCATGGCCCAATCTCCCTATTCCATCCATAGGGAAGCCTGTGCCCCAGCAGTGGGGACATTAATAGGCTGATGATGATACCAAAAATTATAAGAAATAAACATTTGTATAGTGCAATTTGACATGAGTCAACTAGCCTATTAAAACTATGTTTACCGTTTCGCAGGTGATGGAGATAATTAACGCGCCTTCAAGGCAGCGCGGGCGCGTGATCGACTTCAACGAGCTGCTGTACGGCTACACTCGCTTGCAGCCGCTGCACGGCGCCGACCACGTGCTAGATCTGCTGCTGAAATACAGGCGCTACCGCGGAAAGAAGATGACTGCTGCTGTACGAAGACATGCGTATCTGCAGCAGGCATTCACCGGTCAGTGTCCAATCATAATTAATGTCTTCCCTGTAAATGCAGCGACCACGTGCTAGACCTGCTGTTCAAGTACAGGCGCCACCGCGGAAAGAATATGACTGCTGCTGTACGAAGACATGCGTATCTACAGCAGGTCTTCACCGGTCAGTGTGATCATTATCTTAAATCCAATGTCTCCACTATAGATGCTCGACCACGTGCTAGACCTGCTGTTCAAGTGCCGCTGCAACCGCAATAAGAAGATAACTTTTGCTGTACGAAAATATGTGTATCTGCAGCAGATCTCTACCGGTCAGTGTGATCATAATTATCAATCAAATGTCTCCTCTATAGATACAGCGACCACTCTTGGACCTGCTGTTCAAGTACCGGCGCTACCACGGCAAGAAGATGACCGCCGCGGTACGAAGAAATGCGTATCTGCATCAGACCTTCACCGGTCAGATCTCAGTGTATAAATAAAATGAATCCCTTTTTTCCTTGGTCACGCTGTAACTTAAGATAGGGCTTTGGCCATTAAATACATATTATTTACTTATAATAAATAGAAAATTCCTACAAAAAAAAATGATTCGCAAAAAATCTAAAATTTTAGAAATGTATCAACAAAATGGATGACGCTGCAGTCGGGTTTTAGGAATTTTTCACAAGAATAGGGCCGTGGTAGCATAATGGTCAGTGCATTCGCCCGGATTGCGAAGGGTGCGGGTTCCAGTCCCTTCCGCTGCCTGGTCCGCGTGGATTTTTTTCTAGTAAACTTTTCTTTAGATTTAAAAATCTAGCAGTTAAATGCTTAAAAATAAATAGAAACATAGCCATTATAAATGTTGTTTTCAACTTATATTTCTGTTTTTGCAGGCATAGACATACGAGAATTGCCAATGGGCGAGCCACCGCCGATAGATGATCCGGAGACATTGAACAAAAACGATGGCAAACTCGATAATAACGATTATGAAGACTTTGATGAGTCTAGCCAGCAACAGCAAAACAGCTTCCTTGATTTCGGTAAGCTGAACGTGAAGGAGGCAATAGGTAACAGCCTTGTGAAGTTACAAAATAATTTGCCGAACGTTTTGAAATGGGGTGACACGGGCTCCGAAGAATATCCGGTTTACGGAAGAAAGATTCACTTCATTTTACCCCTGGCGGGAAGGCAAGAAGTCTTCGGCAGATTCATGAAGAATTACGAGGATATCGTGTTGAAAACTGATGAGGCTGTATCATTGATAGTCGTGTTATATTTAGATAATAAAAATCCCATGGATTACCAAAACTCACAAGGTTTAGTCAATTACTATAAAGATGCGTATGCTAAAGATATACAGACTGTTCTGATGGGTACTACAACTTTTTCTCGCGGTGCCGCTTTGACCGAAGGTCTGAAGCTAGTTCCTGAGGATGGCTTAGTGTTCTTCATAGACGTCGACATGATGTTCAATTTCAATTCCCTCAGAAGAATAAGAATCAATACAATTAAGTTTAATCAAGTCTATTTTCCTATTGTGTTTAGTGAATATAATCCTGAAGTAGTGAACGGTGAAGACTTCAATAAGTTCAAAGACGAAAGTTTTGTGGTAAACTCTGATTTAGGCAGATACGTAGTGACATCAGAGAGTGAGGTGAAATCTAATAGAGAATTAATAAATTTGAAGTACAGCAAAGAGATATCCGATGATTACGGTTACTTCAGACAGTACGGTTTTGGTATCCTAAGTATATACAAATGTGATTTTCACAGAGTCGGTGGTTTCAATTTGAACATAAAAGGTTGGGGCTTGGAGGACGTAGAATTGTTTGAGACACTGATAAAGTCAAATTTGACAGTGTACAGAGTGGCCGATGATAGTTTGGTGCATATTTTCCATTCGGTGGACTGTGATAAGAATTTAGAGAAGAGCCAGTTCTTAATGTGCTTAGGGACTAAAGCTTCTACGTTCGGAAGTGAGAAGCACATGACGTATTACATGCTTAACCATCCGGAACTCCTCTGGCCTAAAGGATGGCAAGAGAAGGGTGCTAGCTAGTACAGGGTTTTACTTTAGGTTAATGTTTAAGTATGAGATTCTGTTTTTCTTTTATCGCGACGTTTAACATTGTTGAAATTGTTGATCGATTTCCAATATATTGTGTACAAAATAATGTTATGAGCTAAATTTGCATCATTGTTGTACCTTATTGGGTGCGACTCTTCGAAGATACGATCATGAGCAGGTGTAATCATACATTCATTTTTATAATATCGACTTTAACATTTCCAATTTAAATCCAATGAATTTTGTTTTAATTTAAATATATTTTAGAATGCATAATGTTTTATAATATTAAGGTGCTTTGTCTCAAAAGTGATTGTGGATTCTATAAAGCATTTATAATTATAGCTTTTAAAGTAAGAATATTAATTGTATAACTATTGTTTTGTTCCTAATAGCAGTTTGGATGGCAAGACATCCAGCTGCAATTTATGCACCATGTCATATTTGTTTCTCAAATAAAATTCTTTTCATTTCTTGTTTTTTTTTTTTAATTTTTACGTAGTCGTTCTTATACAGATTAAAACTAATGCTTTGTAAACTATAAGAAGTTGATCTGACATGGTGCCGAATTTGTAACATTTTACTATATATATATATGTACACGTAGTCATGTATTTTGGATGTTGCCTATTTTTGTTTTACATTTACTCTGGTTGGTGGTTATATGCTAAAGTAAATATAGTACTATCTTATCAGTTCTACGCACTTCATTATCATTATGTATCAGTATCATTCATGAAAACATGGATATGTACAAATGTTTTTTAAACATATTCACGTTTTCATAAATCATGATATTTTTTTAAAGGCTACAGTTCTTTTGTCTATTGTAATAAATTTTAACAAGTAAGAAAACCATATATTTTATAAAGAAGCTTATAATACTCTTTATGTCTATGTCAATAAAGTTTATTATATTATAATCAATGGTTGTGAACACGGACACACATCGCTAGTTGTAAAAGTAGACGATCACTTAAATGGCCATTTTACTTATTTGCTTGCATGTTTTATCAGATATACATAATCCATGAGATTCAGTTGCATAGTTATAAAGAACACATTGTTACTATTTAAAATGGAATATCGTATTGAATATTTCCAAAATAAGTTTCCTAGTTCAATAAAAGTTTTGATTTAGGTTACATGATATTGATTAGATTTAATAGATTCATGATTTTAGCAGCAACATTGAATATTCGGCTGGTACAGTGCGATTTAAAACTTCGGTCGTGAAGGCAGCAGCAAGCAGTTAGATGTAGTGTATGGCGAACTCCACGCGCTTATCTGACTTTTGTTTGTTGCATGCGCCGTGTGCCGTGACTTGCGCAAACTTCACAGTAGTCACCAAGTTTGAATCGTACCAATCCTAAACTCAACAAGTAGGTAATTTCATAAAGTTTAAATACCTACATGATAATTAATATTTTTTTGGGCCCGCTGAATTTCTAATATTTTTTCGTACATAAATTTCATTCCTGTTCTTATTAACATTTTTTCGAATACTTCTTCATTTATTTCACATTAAATTTGTATTTAATTAAATATTATTGTTGACTGCAATTTTGTATTTTCCACTTCCTCTTTGTTAGTTTATAGCGAAGTTAGCTTCAGAGGTTTTCACGACATCATGTCAGCTATTCCTTAAATTAGTCAGTTTTTAGAGAATTATTATACGAACCAAAATACCATTATTTTTTCATAATACGTAGTAATAATAATTAATACTACTCAAACGTGAACCGGGCCAAAAATCTAACATAAGTGGAGAGTGTCAAATTCTTGCAAATAATAATTTGGTTATTCTTTATGACACTATATACATTTTAGTTGATTGTAGTCAAGAATTATGACGAAGCAAACTTTTTATCATTGTTTTTGTACTGTATTCATAGTAAACATGACATTTTGAAGTCAGTTAAATAAAAGTAACAAGGACGACAAACGTAGAACGAACGAAAATTTTAAGTTCATGATAAATTGTCTTCGATCGAATCAAATGAAGGTTTCAAAATTTCTGTTATGCTTTATGATGGAGCAAAAAAAGTTTGACTAGTTATTTATGTCCATATGTCTTTTTTTATTTTTAAGATATTTTTTTGTTCTTTTACGGATACTATGGTGTCGATTCTGGCGTAATTCTCTAAAATTAAACTTAAATTTGACAACAGTGTATCTCTGTCATTCTCTATACAGAATGAAAACGACAGGCTGATGTTAAATTTATTTTTCAGTTTAGAGAATCCTGCCAGAATCGACACCTATGTAACATTTACTATATAGCATAGTCTTATATTTTTTTCAGGTCTAGGCAATGTTTCTACCTGCGGCTAAGCTTGTTCACGAGTACGGTTTGCGTCGACCCCAAACCGTCGCTTGCGCCGGTGTCTGTAACAAACCTTTATACTAACTGGCAACTCGGGACGTAGACACGGTTTTAAACCGTGCCTAGACCCGGGCAGAAATCGTCTCTTTTTGACGTAGACGCGGTTTTAAACCGTGCCTAGATCCGGGTAGAAATCGTCCCTTTTTTTTGAGTGTGTATGCTGTTGGTCGCAGAGGAGCTTTACAGCGTCACCGGGTTTGGGGACGGCGAGATCCTAAAGGGACCTTAAGCCGCGAATTGGCCTAAGGAGAGGCCTCTAGAGGTATTCCAAGCGGATGGTATCTCCCCGCGGGGGATGTCTCCTCTCCGTCTGGAGCCTCTAGACTATTTCAGAAATAGTCTCTTTAACAAGCGATGATTGCTAACTTTTATTATGTACGTAGGTAAATGTTGCGGTATTATTTATTTTAGTAAAAAAAGTTGGTCCGGTTTACGTTTGACTTAGTTTAATATTGTAAATAAACTATAAATTATTTTAATGAGCTCACTAAGTGCCAATTACTAGGGTGTAAGTAGCTAATTAACGAAAAGCGAGTAAATATAATGGTGTTGATATTATATTTTGTGGCTGTACAATGTAAGGTATTGTGATTTGATAGTGATCAACATGGATGAAATATATTTTTGGCAAAGTATTGTCTTTTATTTATTATTCAATATGATTCTAGTACCCTTAGCACGAGCCATTGTCGAATTCGAATAGTTTGCGAGTGCGAAATGTCATTGTCACGGTAGTACACAACTGCAAAATGAATAACTTGACTCACATGACGCTAGCAAACGTGACAATAAATGCATCAATCTCTGAGCATTAACAAGCACGGTTTATTGAGGTTTTAGGTACCGCTTTCATTTCGGACGCGCTCCGAATGAAACCTTACTAAAAACCGGTATTAACCTTTATTTACCGGTATTTTCGAAACCGGTTAAAAGTCCTGGGCGTAACTAGTCTATGCTTTTTCCGCGTTTATTATTATGGGGGAAAAGTCGTTCAACGTCATACGTTGTTCGAAAGCACAGGTCATTCGACTCCATAAGTCGTTTGACTTCAAAATTCGTTAGACTTCAAAAGATGTGTGACTTAAAGTTATAATTAGACTTACAACGAATAGTGTATTCGGCAGTATACCGAATAAAGAATTATCGGCGAGGCCCCTGACCAAAAACTTGTACAGACGTGATTGTTTCGCGCTCCTTTGTTTTGTTCTAATCTGCCGTCCTCATGCTAAAATGCGGCTAAATGACAAAACCAACTTTTGAGATATGGCCAAAAACGGCGCGTAAACTTTAAATTATTGCTATTATGTAACCATTCATCACATGACTGAATGAATTAAAAACTGTTAACTTGTTTACTACAGAAAGTTATTAAAGTATGTACCAATGACTACTTAATAAATGATTATAAAAGAAATGAGAACCTTACCCTTCTAAATTTTGATTACCACAATAATTCAAATACTTACGAGGATTCTATATCCTCCATTTTTCCAATTCAGAAGATGATTATGTACCTGTGTTATGTACGAATGCCGATTATATAACGGAAATGAAAATATGAATATATACGTAATCAATCGATTTTAATTTTTCATTTTACCAATTATTTCTCTATGACAAAATATATTATTTAAGTATTCGGTATTCGGCCGAATAATATGTAGATATTCGGTATTCGGCCGAATATAATAAAAGCAGCCGAATAGGCCGAATACCGAATAGTAACCGAATATTCGTTGCCTACCATGGAGGATAGACAGAAGGAGAACGATCGCTACGTACTAAAGCATTAGCCCGCCTGTCCCTGAAAATTTGTAGAATTTGTAGTTCATTTTTCAGCCACCAGCCGCGCTGCCGTCGTAAGTAGTATCTGTGAAGTTAGCTGTTTATGAGTACAAGTAGATGAAGTTAGTTGAATAATGTATTTGGTCGTTTCAAATTAGCACACAACAACCCGCTTTTATTGAGACAACTTAGCGATCGCAGCGCCTCACTTATTTTGCCCTTATTTCTGGGACTCTATTTTCTACAGCGGTCGTTCTCTTTCTCTCTAATCTCCATGATACCTACCTAGTAGGTACTCGTACTTTACCTTTTTTTCCGGTTACCATGAAAATTCTACCAATTTTGATTTTCACGCAAATAGTATGTTTTGATTATTTCGCAGTTTCGTATTTGTTCATGATTATTTTCAATAGACTTTTGTATCAAGTTAGTAGTTGGTATCACACGGAATCTTAAATTCCTTAGTACCTTAGTAATTTTGTCCCACATAGGGGACAGGCAGTTCATCTATATATATATATATATAAAACTCAAAGGTGACTGACGGACATAGTGATCTATCAACGCACAGCCCAGACCACTGGACGGATCGGGCTGAAATTTGGCATGCAGGTAGATGTTATGACGTAGGCATCCGCTAAGAAAGGATTTTGATCAATTCTACCCCCAAGGGGATAAAATAGGGAATGAAAGTTTGTCAATTTTAAACCGATCGGGCTGAGACTTTGCATGCAGGTGTAAGTGGAATCATAGATGAATGTCATTGTGTATAATACAAGCCTGAGAACAAAAACTGTAGTCTACACTGCCGTCACACACG